TTAATCACCTATGGAGAGGGTGTGTGGTCTTGTACTTAATCACCTATGGAGAGGGCGTGTGGTCTTGTACTTCATCACCTATGGAGAGGGCGTGTGGTCTTGTACTTCATCACCTATGGAGAGGGCGTGTGGTCTTGTACTTAATCACCTATGGAGAGGGCGTGTGGTCTTGTACTTCATCACCTATGGAGTTGACATGTATCCTTGTACTTAAGCACCTATGGGGTGGGCGTGTGTTCTTGTACTTAATCACCTATGGAGATGGCATGTATCCTTGTACTTAATCACCTATGGGGTGGGCATGTGTTCTTGTACTTAATCACCTATGGAGATGGCATGTATCCTTGTACTTAATCACCTATGGAGGGGTACATGTGTTCTTGTACTTAATCACCTATTATGTGTCCTTGTATCACCTATGGAGATGGCATGTATCCTTGTACTTAATCACATGTATCCTGTACTTAATGGCGTGTGTTCCATGTGTGCTTGTAAATCACCTATGGAGATGGCATGTATCCTTGTACTTAATCACCTATGGAGTGGACGTGTGTTCTTGTATTTTTCACCTGTGGAATGGAGTGTGTTCCTGTACTTAATCACCTATGGAGAGGTGTGTGGTCTTGTACCTAATCACCTATGGAGGGTATGTGTGGTCTTGTACTTCATCACCTATGGAGAGGGCGTGTGGTCTTGTACTTCATCACCTATGGAGAGGACGTGTGGTCTTGTACTTAATCACCTATGGAGGCGTGGGCGTGTGGTGGAGTTGACATGTATACTTACTTAATCACCTATGGAGAGGGCGTGTGTTCTTGTACTTAATCACCTATGGAATCACCTTAATCACTATGGAGAGGGCGTGTGGCCTTGTACTTAATCACCTATGGAGATGGGGTGTCCTTGTACTTCTTATGGAGAGGACTTAATCACCCTATGGAGAGGGCGTGTGGTCTTGTACTTAATCACCTATGGAGAGGGCGTGTGGTCTTGTATCACATCACCTATGGAGAGGGCATGTGGTCTTGTACTTCATCACCTATGGAGAGGGCGTGTGGTCTTGTACTTCATCACCTATGGAGAGGGCGTGTGGTCTTGTACTTCATCACCTATGGAGAGGGCGTGTGGTCTTGTACTTCATCACCTATGGAGAGGGCGTGTGGTCTTGTACTTCATCACCTATGGAGAGGGCGTGTGGTCTTGTACTTCATCACCTATGGAGAGGGCGTGTGGTCTTGTACTTCATCACCTATGGAGAGGGCGTGTGGTCTTGTACTTCATCACCTATGGAGAGGCGTGTGGTCTTGTACTTCATCACCTATGGAGAGGGCGTGTGGTCTTGTACTTCATCACCTATGGAGAGGCGTGTGGTCTTGTACTTCATCACCTATGGAGAGGGCGTGTGGTCTTGTACTTCATCACCTATGGAGAGGGCGTGTGGTCTTGTACTTCATCACCTATGGAGAGGGTGTGTGGTCTTGTAATTAATCACCTATGGAGAGGGCGTGTGGTCTTGTACTTCATCTCCTATGGAGAGGGCGTGTGGTCTTGTACTTAATCACCTATGGAGAGGGTGTGTGGTCTTGTACTTCATCACCTATGGAGAGGGCGTGTGGTCTTGTACTTCATCACCTATGGAGAGGGCGTGTGGCCTTGTACTTCATCACCTATGGAGAGAGCGTGTGGTCTTGTACTTCATCACCTACGGAGAGGGCGTGAGGTCTTTTACTTCATCACCTATGGAGAGGGCGTGTGGTCTTGTACTTCATCACCTATGGAGAGGGCGTGTGGTCTTGCTTTTTACCACCTACAGCGAGGGCGTTTATCCTTGTATTTAATTAACTGTGAAGATGACGTGTGTTCTTGTATTTGATCACACGCCACAGCAATTTCTATTCTTTTCTATAAACGGAATTGCAGGAAATGTCAGGACATACATATTATCATAATTAGTATGCACCGAACACTGTCGAAAGAATTATGAATTACACGTGCGGGAATATTATTCTAAATATCAAGGGAAATGCAAAACATCTCTCTGGTCATTAATACGAAATTATTATGTTTATGTTTATAGAACTGCGTGTAGTTATGGTACTGGAACGTGATACATTCTTGTACGGCACGGCTGTTTGTAAATACTTTACAATTTGTATTTATGCACACCTCACCAGTGTTATAACATCCACTCAGGGTGTATATGAATATGACTCCACAATAGCACGATGATGTGTATGTAAAACTTCAAAGCTTTAGAATCCCAACCAAATAGATTCAACTAGGGGTAGGAGGCAATCATCTGTCCAAATAGATTCAACTAGGGGTAGGAAGCAATTATCCGTCCAAATAGATTCAAGTATGGGTAGGAGGCAATTATTCGTCCAAATAGATTCAACTAGGGGTAGGAGGCAATTATCTGTCCAAAATAGATTCAACTAGGGTTAGGAGGCAATTAACCGTCCAAATGGTTAAAGCGTTGGCTCGTCACGCCGAAGACCCGTGTTCGATTCCCCACATGGGCACAATGTGTTAAGCCCATTTCTGGTGTCCCCCGCCGTGATATTGCTGGAATATTGCTAAAAGCGGCGTAAAACTAAACTCAGTCAGTCAGTCAGTCAACTAGGGGTAGGAGGCAATTATCCGTCCAGATAGATTCAACTAGGGGAAGGAGGCAATTATCCGTCCAAATAGATTCAACTAGGGGTAGGAGGCAATTATCCGTCCAAACAGATTCAACTAGGGGTAGGGCAATTAGGAGGCAATTATCCGTCAAATAGATTCAACTAGGGGTAGGAGGCAATTATCCGTCCAAATAGATTCAACTAGGGTAGGAGGCAATTATCCGTCCAAATAGATTCAACTAGGGGTAGGAGGCAATTATCCGTCCAAATAGATTCAACTAGGGGTAGGAGGCAAATAGATTAGGAGGATCCGTCCAATTAGGAGGCAATTATCCGTCCAAATAGATTCAACTAGGGGTAGGAGGCAATTATCTGTCCAAATAGATTCAACTAGGGGTAGGAGGCAATTATCCGTCCAAATAGATTCAACTAGGGGTAGGAGGCAATTATCCGTCCAAATAGATTCAACTAGGGGTAGGAGGCAATTATCCGTCCAAATAGATTCAACTAGGGGTAGGAGGCAATTATCCGTCCATAATTCAAGTATTTATCAACCAAAGGGGTAGGAGGCAATTATCCGTCCAAATAGATTCAAGTATGGGTAGGCAATTATCCGTCCAAATAGATTCAAATAGATTCCGTCCAATTCAACTAGGGGTAGGAGGCAATTATCCATCCAAACAGATTCAGGGTGGGAGGCAATTATCCATCCAAAACAGATTCAATTATCCGTCCAAATAGATTCAACTAGGGTAGGAGGCAATTATCTGTCCAAATAGATTCAACTAGGGGTAGGAGGCAATTATCCGTCCAAATAGATTCAACTAGGGGTAGGAGGCAATTATCCGTCCAAATAGATTCAACTAGGGATATCTCTGTCCAAATAGATTCAACTATGGGTAGGAGGCAATTATCCGTCCAAATAGATTCAACTAGGGGTAGGGCAATTATCTGTCAAATCCAAATGGTAGATTCAACTAGGGGTAGGAGGCAATTATCTGTCCAAATAGATTCAAGTTCATCCGTCCAAATAGATTCAAGTATGGGTAGGAGGCAATTATCTGTCCAAATAGATTCAACTAGGGGTATTGGTATTCAACTAGGGGTAGGGAGGCAATTATCCGTCCAAATAGATTCAAGTATGGGTAGGAGGCAATTATCCGTCCAAATAGATTCAACTATGGGTAGGAGGCAATTATCCGTCCAAATAGAACTAAGGGTAGGAGGCAATTATCCATCCATTATCAATCCAAACAGATTGAACTAGGGGTAGGAGGCAATTATCCGTCCAAATAGATTCAACTAGGGGTAGGAGGCAATTATCTGTCCAAATAGATTGAAGTATGGGTAGGAGGCAATTATCCGTCCAAATAGATTCAACTAGGGGTAGGAGGCAATTATCCGTCCAAATATATTCAACTAGGGGTAGAAGGCGCAACTGCAGATAAAACTGCATGAATGGGTCAGGGACAGTCAGTAACAACACCTGGGCCTGGCTCCGATTTCTCGAAACAAACTGAAGTTTTCACTAAACATTTCAAACTCAGTTGCAGTTCTCAAACCAAAAGACAAAACAACAAATGTAACATATCTACCTAACTCAAATTGTCTACTAAATTTGAGTTTAATATCCATTTCAGTTTATTCTGGGAAATGTATTTTCCCTGTGTTTTCTCAAATTTGAGTAAAATATTTAACTTAAGTCAAAACGCAGACTTGTTTGTTCCGAGAAATCGGGGCCAGGTGCTTGTCAAAAGGATAAACATGTCTCGCCCAGCATTGTGTTAGTATTGAGGAACGCTTGAAATGAGCGCCCAATGACTACCTTAAATAGCTGTTAAATTTTGTCGTCGGATACCGAAAGTCATTTTACGCCTTGTGCCTCGATGTACAGAGTTGTGTTCCTTAGTAGTGACAGGATTCACTGGACGTATGTTCAAATCTAAATCTGCCTCATTATCATCTGAGATGTGTCGTCACCACACATGTTTTAATGGATTTTATCTGAGTGACAAAACGTCAACATTTTGCGTCAGTTTGGGCGATGAAAAACCTTTAGATATAATTTGAAACAGGATGAACCAATTTCACTATTCTAATCCCTAAATAATATTTAACCAATGGGTCTATATTCAAATTAACACAGGGTGCACTCCAACCTCCCCCCAGAAGAAGAATTCCCTGAGGAGCATTTCCCCCTAACCTTTGGACTTATCCTGGATCCTGGATCCTGCCAAATCCTGGATCCTCCCCTGTATAGTACATTTTCATGATGTCTACAATATATATTAATCAAACAACGGAAATTCGAATGCATGTCGTGTTTTCCGATATTCGAAAAAAGATTTTTAAAAAAGAGTTTTGTGCTGGTAATCATTCTGAGGGGTGACACAATATTTTATTTTCCACATATTGAAAATCATTCGTCCATTGCTTCAAAACGTTCCGTGACAAGGGGTGTATTTTGTAACTTTGTTAAAAAAATTGTTAAACAAATATTTTCCTTCTTTTTGAGGAATGAGGTACTTGTTCGAGAAACTGAAACTGAATGAATCAACAAGGCTTATATGGGATTGCTCTGCACTGACTGAGTGTCATGGCTAGACTTTATTGATGTCCACTCGTATGTCAGGACTCTGAGTCAGGTGACTCGATTCACATCGTCTGAATAGTAAGAACGACGTCCCCGACAGCGTGTCCCACTTCCCCATGACGTGTCGTGGTCCCTCCTTGTCCGTCATGACGCTGTCTGAGTCGTCGTTACCGGCGTCAACGTACATAGAGCGGAATATAGCAAAGGGATTCGCTTCCGTGTCCTGCTTGAACAGAAGGTTGCTGACCCGAAGTTCTGTCCTGTCCACTTGAACGTGTACCTGGTACATCAGAAAACGTAGGTATTAACTGGATAAATATGCTGATGAAAGAAATGAAAATTGGGATATCACTTCTTCTCAAAGAACTCATCTCGCGGAAGAAGCACTTCTTTAATATTTGTTGGAATGCCCAATCCTCCGCGATGATCAGGACCATAAGATACATATTCCGCAAATGTTAATACTGTATTCTGTAGAATATCATTACAAAAAAAGTGGGGAGTGTGGGGCCAAGTCGCTTTGAACAGTCCCGATGTGTCAGCTTGATGCTGAAGGTGAGTTTAATTTTACGCCGCTTTTAGCAATATTCCAGCAATATCGCGGCGGGGGACACCAGAAATGGGCTTCACACTTTGTGCCCATGTGGGGAATCGAACACGGGTCCTCGGTGTGACGAGCAAACGCTTTAACCACTAGGCCACCCCACAGCCCCTACATATGTTAAATTTTTACTACTTTGGTGAGTTTACGATCAGTGGAATGTTGCTGACATACCGAGAAATATTATCACACCTAATCAGGAATTCTATGATGCTTCGGTGAAAGATCAAAGGCGCCGACTGTACTTTATCAGACGATAATGTGCACGTCACAATGCAACGCCATTCTAGCCCCCTCGTAATCGGACAATTTTCTCATTACGTCACAATGTAAGCGACGTCACGATGCATGTCAGTTGTCATCGCCTTGTATAGCTTCCTACAGTAAACTACTCCGCTGCATCCCGTTTCTTCGTTTGCAGTTGCTTCACTCAGCTTATATCACTGGTGGAAGCCTTACGTTTATGTTTTACGACGGATAAAATGTCGCAGTTCGACTCACAATTTTACAGCGACACGGTAACGTTCGCAATGTTTACATTCCCACAATGCAATTGTGGAATGTAGCTTGACTGGTCAGCTTCATTTGGATGTACTGATCTAAACATATGTTAGCAGTACAAATGCGACGTTCATATTGCCCCATATGGTTTACGTTAAGCACTGATGTAATTAAAATAATTTAGAGAAGATATTTAACCCAAACGTAAACCGTCATCAACTGTTTATTATTTGTTTTTCTGGTAACGTTCATCATAAACGTAGGGGGCAGACACAATCAATAGAACAGCGCTAATTTAGGTCCCCCTGACACCGTCGTTTGTTTTCTGCCATAGATTAATCGTAATTATCCTTAAAAGTATTAAATTTGGCATCTTAGAAAGAAATACAGTTCGCTCTACCACCATGTATAATAAAGCACACTTTCGCCCTAAACTCGGGCGCTCGGACGCAATTGTCCTCGTACTTTAACTATTATAGTTCAGGGCGAAAGTGTGCTTTATTACACTATACATGGTGGTAGAGCGAACTGTATTTCTTAATTCACACCCGCGATCATAGGTTTCTGACACGTCTAAAGGACGCGGCGATATACAGTCAGCTGCATGGCAATTTGAAAAAGTCTAGACTAGGATGGCTTGTGAACTTCAGCATCGAAAATTCGCTAATGCAATAAACCCGAAATCGTTATTCATAAAGTTGTACGTTTTCTTATTTATAAAGTCAATCGTGACTCAATAGTAATAGTAATGTAACAGAAGGCTGAAAATAAGCTCTGTATAAATTAATTAATTTCCGGGAAAAATGATTAAAACAACTGATTGCTCTTAGCTAGGCCATTGTACGAAATCAAGGACCATCGGACTCAACATCTTCGTTTAAAAGTCAGCATCCATTCACTATATATATCACCAGTGAGTGAGTGAGTGAGTGAGTATGGTTTTAAGCCGCTTTAGCAATATTCCAGCAATATCACGGCGGGGGACACCAGAAATGGGCTTCACACATTGTACCCATATGGGGAATCGAACCCGGGCCTTCAGCGTGACGAGCGAACGCTTTAACCACTAGGCTACCCCATCGCCCCATATATATCACCAGCAGGTCAGGAGACTGCAGTCTGTACATCTTCGGTTGCGTGGCTAAGGAGAGATGCGTTCATGACATTCATACCGCATTTTGGAGGCTGTTAACATTACGTGACAGGTCGCACGTCAAGAGATAGTTTTGTTGAAGTTGGTTGGTTGGTTTTTTGTTTCACGTCGCACTCAGCAATATTCCAGCTATATGTCGGCGGTCTGTAAATAATCGAGTCTGAACCAGAGAATGCAGTGATCAACAGCATGAGCATCGTTCTACGCAATTAGGATACGATGACGTGTGTCAGCCAGGTCCGCGAGCCTGAACACCCGATCCCGTTAGTCGCCTCTTACGACAAGCACGAGTTGCTGAGGACCAATTCTAACATGGATCTTCAAGGGTAGTCATCTTGAGAGAGGATCCTCGGTTTTAATCCTCGGTGATGAATTTTGAGATTATTGTTCGCAGCGAGGCATTTCTAAGACTGTGACTACAGGTTACGACTATCTATGCCAATGGGATGTACGGCAGGGGCTTATAACGCGAAAAACACCTTGATTGAGACAATATATATCTAGAAGCTAGCCCTTTGGGATGTACAATAATCATCACCAAAAATGCATTTCAACAATATTATTGCCAACATATAACCTTAGCATATACTAACACCCTCATACCGGAATTCTTTCCAAACAAAACATGGAAAGCTATTAACCGTTAAAATCTTTCCTGCATACGGATCATCTCGCATTAACCTTCTTCAGAACGGGCGGTGGGGTAACCTAATGGTTAAAGCATCCACCCGTCAAGCTGAAGACCCAGGTTCGATTTCCCTCATGGTACAAGGTGTGAAGCCTATTTCTGGTGTCCCCCCGCCGCGATATTGCAGGAATATTGCTAAAAGAGGCGTTAAGCAATGCTCGCTCATTCACCCACTCAACTCACTCTTCAGAACAACGTCTACTAACACCAATGCTTACTTTTAGGGTCGCCTGTCCGCCATCACGGTACGTCACGTTCAGAACTAGTGTGTCAGGGTTGACGACGACAGACGCGATGGGAGCCACTGGCCGGAAGTCACTGGACAAAGTTTGACCAACGATGACGGAGGTTCCGAAGGGGATCCAGTCTGCAGCAGGAGGTACTGGAGGAAGTAGACGAACATTGCCATCTTGATACAGAACAAACACCTGACTCCACGTCTCGTTCCAGGGCACAGGGAGGGCTATGCGCAAGTAGTCAGCATTTTCGTAAGTTTGACTTGTCGTGGAAATGGTCACTTTCATGGAGTCGGGCGCTAGCCACCAGAAGTCGATGTCAACGCCTTCAATAGCCACCTCTTCGTCCTTGTACATAACAAACGGTTTATCTGAACCCATGTAACGTCGTTCCAAATGAAAGTCATCAATGATGATGCCGTTAGTTTGATTCGTGAAGATCTTCAGGATGATTTCATTTTCTTGCTTCTCAAACCACGTGAAATCGGCGATGGTCCATTTGTGAGACGGAGAAGATCCTGAAAATGGTACAGAAGTTTCCTTGAAGAGGAGACCTGATTTCTTCTCCTTGTACAAGACTGTAACATTTGCTGTAGACGTTAATCCGTCTAGTTTCAGTGTCAACTCAGACCCGATCTCCGAGTCGATGTGACCCTCGGTCCTTCCGGCCAGATGGAACAGCACTTGAAAAGAGAACAGGTTGTGGATGCCGTTAGCACCGTCATCGTTAACGGCAAGGATGGCTCGGTTTGATACCTTAGGCGAAATGAGAAGGTTTTCCAATGGAACATCCTCAAATTTCCAGTAAACCGGATCAAGAAACGGGCAGTGTTTTGTATCTTCATCTCTCAGGTTTTGAAACGTGTACATCTGTGGCTTGTATGCAGTGACGGTGTACTCTTTAACGCTGTTGTGGAACAGCTGAATGTGAACGTTGTCCTCCTCAGCACAAAGAGTAGGATAGCTCTTCTGCAAGATGTATCCGTCAGTCACAGATTGGTCGGCGTTGCTCTCGAGGGCCAGCGGATCCTTTATACAAGGTAACGAGCAGTTTAGAACTGCTGATTCTGACGTCAGCAAAGGATCATCGATTTCAATCAATATCTTATCTATTTCAATACCGTACTCGTCACTCTCAATCACCTTCATCTTGAGACGGTGAATGCCTCCCTCTAAAGACCTTGTACCCATCTTTCCAGACCTTTTCATGACGTTCCACAAGGAACCATGCCCAGACTTGCTTTCAGTGGTGAATGAACCGATTATTTCTTGGTCTAGGGTGATCGAGACATGGTCCTGATTACCGTCATTGGAAAATACAACATCTTTCAAGAAGGCTTGGGTCGACCGAAGGAGACAAAACCTGTATGCCAGGACGTCCCCCTCCTTCAGCAAGACGGTCTTGCCGTTGGAGGCATTATCTCTGTTTCTCACGACGTGCTCACCTCGAGACGTCTCTGCTTCTATCGAAATCAGCGTCGCTGAAGACAACCGCAGCAACACCAACAGCAATCCTACGCCCAACATGGTTTGTTGCGTAATGAATATTTTTACCTTCAATTCGCGACAGGCACATCTGTTAAGTGATCATATTGTCGGGAAATATATTTTGAAAATACAAAAGCACTCGAGTATTCTTTAAAAAACGATCACGTATATCACCTAAATTGCACATTTAATATAACTAAAGTTAAAAAGAAATTGTTATCAAGCTTGAAAGTATATCGTATGAAAAGAGTTTTTAAATGTTGGCGTCATCTGAAAGCAATATGAAACCTGTTACATGAGCGTTCAACGATGTGTGAAACTGATAGGTGTGTGACATGTTGTGCGACATGCGTGGTTAGGCCAATGCTTTATGATATTAGCTCTTTCACCAGCACACAATACCATAGAGTTGGAGATCTTTTTGTGTTTTGAATACAACAAACGTTCCCGAACATTTTGTCAAATGGGATTTTCTGGTAGGAATGGGCCAATGGAAATACAGTCACATGGGGCGTGGTGAGCGGGCTGTCTAAGGTGTCAGATCAATAGCCTGGCGCCTCAGACAGCTCGTCCGCCATGCCCCCATATGTCCGTATAAAACGGGGTGTGTGGTCGAAGCAAGCCCTCTGGTTGGTTGATGCTAGTTCAGGAGACATTTACAACTGGTGGTTTCTTTTGAGAAGCCATTGCAGGGAAAAAGTCTTATATTTCCAAGTCAAGCATTCGATGAAAGTGAAAATCCCCGTGCGTTTATAAAGAATGTGCAGATTTACAAGCGTTGACCAATCAGAGGGCTTGCTTCAACCACACCCCGTTTTGTGCGGACATATCGTTGTCCATTCGGGTGGGGTACACCGAAGTGTCCGGCCTTGTCATTAGGGGTGGGTATTGCAGAGAATTTTCATGTTGCGATATATTGCGATGCGAAAGCATATATTGCAAGAAGTTTTTCAACAAAAAAAAACTACCTATACTCGAGTTAATGCTTGATTTATAAAGCAAAAACAAAACAAAATCATAATGTTTGATTAAGCTTTGATAACAACTTTTAATCCTGACAAAATAAAAATGGAAATAATATTTGGCACAAATGAAACAAGGCAATATCCGAAGATTTCCGAGTGTTACGAAGTTTACCGAATGCATGTCAAAATACCGGTTTTCGATCAGCGTATCTCAATACGTATCGTTTTCATGTCTGAACCGGTAAATACCGGTAAACCGGTTATATTGCGCAGCCCTACTTGTCATGATGTATTATACTGTGAAGCATTTCAAGTCGGGGGTCATCTCAAAAATATTTCTTTAATCTTTAATCCTCGCAAAGACACGAGGGCCTGTGCTCATTACGTCATGTTGAGGATGACATTGTCTCTCATTTGTGTTAAGTTCATGTCATGTCAAAAATGGCATTGTCTCTCATTTGTGCCATATTGAAGACTGCGTTGTCTCTCATTTGTGTCATGTTCATGTCGTGTCAAAAATAGTATTTGTGTCATGTTCATGTCGTGTCAAAAATAGGTTGTCACTCATTTGTGCCATACGGAAGGCTGTGTTGTCACTCACTTGTGTCACGTTGTCTAGGTCATAGTTTCTCATTTGTGTCATGTTCATGTCGTGTCAAAAATGGCGTTGTCACTCATTTGTGCCATACTGAAGACTGTGTTGTCACTCATTTGTGTCACGTTGTCTGTCATTGTCTCTCATTTGTGTCATATCCATGTCATGTCAAAAATGGCGTTGCCACTCATTTGTGCCATACTGAAGACTGTTGTCACTCATTTGTGTCACGTTGTCTAGGTCATAGTTTCTCATTTGTGTCATGTTCATGTCGTCTCAAAATAGCGTTGTCGCTCATTTGTGCCATACTGAAGACTGTGTTGTCGCTCATTTGTGTCATGTTGTCTAGGTCACTGTTTCTCATTTGTGTCATGTTCATGTCGTCTCAAAAATAGCGTTGTCGCTCATGTGTGCCATATTGACGATATCTCACGTGTAACATGCTGTCAAAGGAGCATTAAGGATAAAGAGTAGGTTTATCAAAAGCAGAATTTTTTTTTTACAGAATCATATATACCTAATGTTGATTGGCTTGTTTGTTTAAAGCGGCACTCGGACATATACATAGAGGCATCTTGCTGAGAGCATCAATAAGCAACGTGCAAACAGTCTCTATAAACATGACACTTATTTACACAACTCAATAAACGCCAGACATTAAACAAGCGTCGATCAATATTAGGTTAGAAATTGGACACACGCAGAGGTGGTATTTATATTATTAACATTCAATGCAGCTGCTGTAAATTCAAATGCCATTAATCCTAACATACATTATTATGTTATTTTCAAAAACAGTACACATGCATTTAACATCAAAGAAACATGTATTATAATTTAATTCATAAATCTAGGAACAATGTTTTTCGATCTTCAAATACTTTGTAAATACATGTTTGTTAACTGCATGTAATGACAGTTTAATGCATGTCAGCTTATTGATGGAAGTATTACAAAAAACAACACAAAAATAAATGATAAATAAAGGCGTTTTATTTACATTTCCTCTAACAAGCAGCAATACAGAATGTTGTTATATACATGAGTCACAAATGGTATTGTAGAAGGTACATGCACATACAAAAGCTTGGGTGTAAGAACCAAATTACATAGCCTTGATGATTGTTTGTTTGTCTGCTGGTTTCTAAATGAGTGAGTGAGTTTGGTTTTACTCCGCTTTAAGCAATATTCCAGCAATGTCATGTCACACTACTGTGGACCCCAGATAAGGGCTTCACATACTGTACCCATGTGAGAAATCGAACCTGGAACTTTGGTGTGATGAGTGAAGGCTTTAACCACTAGGCTACCCCACCGCCCGTTTCTAAATGTCCCGCTCAACAATATTCCATCTATAACAGAGTGCCAGTGTTCTGTAAATAATTTTGTCTGGACTGACTGACTGACTAAGTTTGGTTTTACGCCGCTTTTAGCAATATTCCAGCAACATCACAGTGAGGGACACCAGAAATGGGCTTCACACATTGTACCCATGTGGGGATTCGAACCCGGGTCTTCAGCGTGACGAGCCAACGCTTTAACCATTAGGCTACCCCACCGCCCCATTTTGTCTGGACTAGACAGTTCAGTGATTGACATCATGAGCAACAATGTACACAATAAAGGTGCATTACCAGCATCAACCCAGCCGCCAAGCCTACTACCTGTTCCTGTGAGCCACCTCAAAATGCAAGGCTTGCTGAAGACGATTTCCAACCCATATCTTCACTGAACTGTGAATTGCATTAAAGTCGCATCATGTAGATGATTATCTCTCAAGTGAATGCAACACACACAAATATCAGGAACAGCTGCAGATCTGTGATTCAAACATGATCCTGAGGTGGTAAAAGTGAAATAACTGCACAAACCATTAGTGTTTTTGATCCCTTGGCTTTCTGTAAGTGCATCTGGTACTATGAAATGAATACGTTTAATTGTATCTCATCTGAGATTCTGTACAAATTAAGCAAGTGTCAATATGCTTTGAAAATTCTTGGTTTGTATATTATCTGCATCCAAATGGATTCCTCTCAGTGTATGAACAATTTCTTAATATGATGAAGAGCGACATGTCATTGATTCCACTCTCTTGTCATGAAATTCATAACATAGTGAGTTAAAATAAATGCTGAGTAAAACAAAGGATCCTCTACTCAAGACTTGAGGATTGTGGAGAAACTAATACTGTCATTTTGGTCACTGTGGGTTAGCTGAATTTAAGTCTGGTCGTTATCCTAGATCTATATTTCATGGTCCCTAACTTGTTTACCATTGAAATTGTTGAACAATCGCATTCCAATATGAAATTTTCACTTGCATGTGAGTGACCCTGAGAGCTGCTTTGAAAGTAATTTAAGCAGTCTAGTTAAGGGCATGTGAGAGTGCTTGAGAAAGAATGGAATCTTGGGCTAGGGGGAGTTGGTGCATGGACTTGGGCTGCAGGCGAGGCTGGGTCTGGGTTTATGTTCATAAAATGTACCAGAACGAACAGGAAAAAAACATATTCTCCTCCTATTTTATACCCAAAACAGTGTTCACTTTAAATGCTGTGTTCTGAAAAATGTTTAGTGAACAAAAGCCATCAGACATGAAAAATCTCATGCACTTGCAGAACATTAAATGGTTGGTCGTGATGGATCTATATGCCATCTGACATAGCAACAACGTATTACTGAGTTGCAACTCATTAATGCCAGACCAATCCATACATGTGATAACATTCACAAGGCATATATTACATGTGTTCAGGAAACAAACGACAGTAGAAGGCCACGGTCCACACAGCAGTCCTGGTGCTTTGACAATAGTAAATCTGGCTCCAAGAGTGAGTGAGTGAGTTTAGTTTTACGCTGCTTTTAGCAATATTCCAGCAATACCACAGCAGGAGACACCAGAAATGGGCTTCACACATTGTACCTAGGTCTTCAGCTTTAACCACTAAGCACGTGGCTTCAAGAATCGGAATGTCAACAATCACTGACCCCAGAATGCTCTGAGGAAGGAGACCAGGTTTAACATTAATATTTACATTTGTGGAAACATATGAAACAACATGGAATATATGTACAGCTCATTACACACTATACATAACACAGGAGCGTAGTAACTTAGTTCAGTTTACTTTAATGGATACACATTATTCAATTTTACAGCAAAACAAATTCTGCTACAGCTGAACAACAAAAATATATACTTTCTATCTCACAGATTTATCTATCCGAATCAAATCAATAAATTTAAGTGTTTCTCTTCAAAGATTCTGACGGGCGGTGGGGTAGCCTAGTGGTTAAAGCGTTGGCTCGTCACGCCGAAGACCCGGGTTCGATTCCCCACATGGGCACAATGTGTTAAGCCCATTTCTGGTGTCCCCCGCCGTGATATTGCTGGAATATTGCTAAAAGCGGCGTAAAACTGAACTCAGTCAGTCAGTCAAAGATTCTGACAGGATTTGTTAACTGAAATTCAGGTTTTTCACTGCTTTAAGCAATATTCCAACAATATCACCACAGGGACACCAGAAATGGGCTGCACACATAACACCAATGCGGGAAATTGAACCCGGGTCTTTGCTATGACAAGCAAATGCTTTAACCACTAGGTTACCTCACCTCCCTTTAAATAAAAGAATGCAACAAAGCCCCAGGTAACTCATATACCTCAAAACTTGCTTACCATACATGCATTCTCCATAACTTAATGGGTTATGACAAAGTCCCTTTGACTTTTGTCTCCAGTGCAGACAGGTGACACACAACAGGTCAATTGAAACTTTAAGCCAGCTCTTGTGACAGGCTAGGCAGTTCTGTGGTCCTATTCCTTAGGACAATTCCCACTGTGAACTATTAAAGTAGTGACTGACGGTTTAAGCATTAATCCACACAGGTGTCCTGGTGTGTGCTGTCTGAATAATGTTCACACTAGGAACCTCTATCTTGGTTACTTTGTGGAAAAGGCATTGTAACCTGAATCTATGACCCTCAGTATTAGAAAACTTTTAATAATAACTAAAAATAACACTGAAATGCATCAAGAAGACCCACAACACAGGGTGAGTCTGGGTTACGCCATTTTAAGCAAGATCACAGCAAGGGACACCAGAAATGATCTTCACACATTGTACCCATGTGAGATAGAAGCCAGGTCTTCAGCGTGATGAGCGGATGCTTTTGTTGTTAGGCTACACCACCGCCCCAATGCATCATGACTAACAACCATCAATTCAACCAGGGAGACGGCCATATTGACCAGTCATTAAAACTGCTTGAGTTCTCGTTCTCATACCATCCTGTGTAGACATGTACAGATTAGTTGGATATAGTGTGCAAGAAAACGTGTAGACGAACTCCTGCTTGAACTTGAAAGGAGATGTAAGTCTGTTCTAGTGAAACAAGCAACATGTTTTACTTTTTTGTACAGTTCGGCCAGCTGAGACCTCCACACGATGCCGACACGATAAAGTATAGGATCACCTGAAAATAGATATCATTTTATTATGCACATAAGTTTAAACATTAAAAATTATACATTACATATTACAGGATTTGAAACACAAAAAGTCAGGTAGTTTGTGACTAGTAAAGATCAGGGAAAAGTGATGTTTCCAAGTGGAACACAACTATAAGGCTGATTGCAACTTTGCAATTTATAACCACCAAATTCTCACTTTAGTCTCTCAGGCAGTTAGTGATGTCAGTCACTTCTGTGAAGCCAGAGTATAATAATAATATCTTCAGACTATAACATATGTTATATTTGGGATTACACTTTCTCAGTAAAGTACAGATTCTAGTGCTTTTGTTGGGTTGAGTCCCATCCGGGATTCGAACCCGCACCCTCAGAGTCAGGCACCTAATCGCCAGCACACAAAGTCAGACGCCTAGACCGCTCAGCCACCGCGGTTTCCACAAAAATGGAAGTGGGACAACTGGTAGTCTAGACTGCGGACTTTGTGTACCCCTCTGATAAGTGTTAATTGGCACGGCTCCCATGGCCAAAAGCTATGAAATACACAATGCCATTTAGAAAGTGGTCAAATGTAACATATGTTATATTTGGGATTACACTTTCTTAGTAAAGTACAGATTCTAGTACTTTTGTTGGGTTGAGTCCCATCCGGGATTCGAACCCGCACCCTCAGAGTCAGGTTTTTCATACAGACTACTCTTATTTAGAAATCTGTAACAATATGTCCACTGTATATGATATGATGACTTGAGTAAAGACCTGTAAGATACTTACTATCACAACAACAGCTATTATTACTGTTATTTTCACATTTTTCCACCAGAGGGATCGGGCTAAGTTTCGACTTGACTTCTTGAAAGACACAGCCTGGAACATCAACATAATTACACTGTTAAGTTCAACATGTTGGCGAACGCCTTTGCATACTTCCTTAAATAAATGGCTCTCATTATGAGTATATTTCGAAACTGAGCAGTCAGCAATGTTAAGTAGATGCACCTGTATGTATATAGAACATGAGAGATTATATTAATGTAATCCAAACAAGATTGATTTGATGTTGAATGTTTTCTCTTAGAAACATGTCAAAATGTGAAATTCTGCAAAACCTAAATATATACCGGTACTATATTTTACGTTAAGTTTTTCATCAACAATAAAAATAATCAATGTTCCTGTATCAGAAACATATCTGTGTGAAAGTATACCAAATATATGAGATGCCTTAGGAAAGACCATTAATATCCAGAAGGGTTGTGTACATTCTGTACACAACAACAAATTTCTTTGGGGGTAAAACCTGAAAATGAATATTTTTCCAGGATTTGGGGAACTGGTAATTTTATCACACATCTAAGCCCACAAATCTAGCTGCCTTACATTAGTACTGAGATCATCCGTCTTGTCCACCAACAGCTCCAGTCTCTCCCCACGATCTGCTATTGCATCTGAAAGTCATTAACAAATACATTTCTTCAAAAAAGTTAAAATAAGAGATTTTGACTTGTGTTCATTCTGTAATGAAGAAACAGAATATACTTGTCACTTATTATGGGAATGGGAATTTGTGCAAACCTTTTGGTCAAATTTTTTATCATGGTTAACAGAAGGTTGTGACCACATCCATGATCTCAATCTCACTATGGAACTGATAATTTTTTGCTGTAAAAAATGTTTTTACCGACTGTTTTGACTTGTTCATATCATTAGGAAAATATTACTTGTACAAATGCAAGCTCAATTCTGTTCTACCAAATATTGCTCAGTTCAGAATTGAGTTGAGATTGAGATATAGTATGATATAGTATTGAAAAATGAATTTTCTTTAACAGAACTGTAATGCCGAAGTTTATTCGAAATGGCTCTTATATCATGGCTTATTCAAAGACGACTGAATTAATTATATATGTTTAATAATTAAAAATAATCTTGTACTTGTGTGAATGGTGAGTGAATGGATTGTCTTGTTTTGTAAAAATTTCCACCTGTATCCCATTAAATTACTGTATATCTTTCAGACTGAGCTGTCCCCTGGCTGCTTAGTTCTGACAGTAACAGGGATTCAGAAATAAAATTTAAATTACAAAAAAACAACCAAAACCCCCAACAAATTCATATTTAGTTCAGATGTACAAATGTAATGTATAATCTCACATGAACAGAGATCATATTGTGGTGTTTCTGGATTTTTAAACACTCTCATTGATTTACAACGATATAAAGAGAAAATATGGGGCCTCATTCTTCTTGTAACTTGGATCATCAGATCTGCATTTTGAACCACAACATGTGTGCAAAACAAAGCAAATGACATTTTAGTCTTAACTTGTTATATTTTCAACTTTTCAAAGTTGCTAATGATGTCAAGTTAATGATAAAAATCTCCTGAGAAAATATCATTATGTGAGAAAAGGACTGCTAATTTTAGTCAGTTATAACTGTGGTTTATTATATGCATTACAACTGAAACATACAGTAAATGGCTAGGACCAAGGAAACCATTTGTAATATCTGTCAGTTCATTAGTAATGTATTTATCTTTGGATGATAATCCTTGAGGAGTTGTTTCCCCTTGGACTGTGTTCTCAAGTCAGAGTCATTTGTTCAACGACCCGTGAAGATCCGGGGTAGAATAGGTCTTCAGGAACCCATGCTTGCCACAAAAGGCGACTATGCTTGTCGTAAGAGGCGACTAACGGGATTGGGTGGTCAGGCTTGCTGACTTGGTTGACACATGTCATCGGTTCCCAACTGCGCAGATCAATGCTCATGCTGTTGATCACTGGATTGTCTGGTCCAGACTTGATTATTTACAGACCGCTGCCATATAGCTGGAATATAGCTGAGTGCGGCACAAAACTAAACTCACTCATTCACTCACTCATTTGTTCAACAACACCTCTCAGTAACATGCAATAAGGACCACAGAGTTATGTCCCCTTAACTAGATTTCCTAATTCAGGCTAATATCAATGCTAGTTTACAGAAATTTGACAAGAACGATCACAGGTTTCAAACCAAAACGAATTTCCTGGTCTGATCTAGGATTAGTGAAAGGGTGAGTGTTGTGTAACACTGTAGTCAGCAATATTGAGGAAGGATAACAATATATGGATGAACAACTTCTTTACTGAACAACTTCTTTATTGAACAACTTCTTTACTGAACAACTTCTTTACTGAACAACTTTTTTATTGAACCTTCTTTACTGAACAATTTCTTTATTGAACAACTTCTTTACTGAACAACTTCTTTATTGAACCTTCTTTACAGAACAACTTCTTTATTGAACAACTTCTTTATTGAACAACTTCTTTACTGAACAACTTCTCCTCCAGCACAAGGATGGAGGAGCATATATACAAGTTAGAGTAGATGTTGTACAGTACAATAAGGATTAGGAAGCCAGACACAATAACAACACATCTACTCTAACTTGTATATATATGCTCCTCCATCCTTATGCTGTTCATCACTTGCTTGATAACGGTGTTAGAACCTACACTGAAATGTCGCTCTCACAGCAATAAAGAAGTTGTTCATCCATATATCATCCTTCCTCACTGCCCCAACTTCTAAATGCCTCTCAAAGAAGTTAGCAATATTGAGGTAGAACTCAGAATACAATGAGGTTCGTGTCATAACCTGTTTAATGTATTTCACTGACAAGCAGCATAATCACTACAAACAAAAAGTGTTTTACTTACCAATATTCCGGACCATAATTCCTTTCAACTCATCAACTTGATCCTGAACCTTTGTGAGATGGTCTGGTCTGTCCTCACTGAAGAAACGCTGAACACACAAATACAAACACAGTTACACTACACAACAGCAGTATAGAGCTTGGCTCTCACTCACACAGTTCAAATACATATAGATTTGGGCTGTTACGATTCACGATCATTTTCAATGAACCAAACCGTGAAGTTTCATGAATTCAATTCATTATTCATGATCTCTGGAAAAGAATATCCATACATTTCTTGAAAAGGAGTGTTTTTACTTGAATTTGGGTTATGAGAAAGGCAGGATACCTTATGGATGACAAGTTCCTTATCATATTATAATGCTTCATTCCGGAATAGATTCATATATAATTGAATGTTGCATCATAATATCATCAAGAAAATGTCATCCATAACGTATCCTGCCTTCCTTATTTCCCATCAACTTATAAAATGGCAATCAAACAGATTGAATTTGGGTGCAACATGCAAAAGGAAAGTATCCCAGTCGGGCAGAATAACAGTCAACTTTCTTAGAAGGGCGAAAACTTATGGACGTCAACTTCTTTATTTTGAGGGACACAACGTCTTGATGTATATTCTTACTCCTTCATCACCTGAAGCCTATATTCCAGCAATATCACAGCAGGGGACACCTGAAATGGGCTTCACACCTTGTGCCCATGAGGGGAATCGAACCCAGGTCTTCGATGTGACAAGCGAACGCTTTAATCATAAGGCTACCCCACCACCACTATCTGCCTGAGAGCTTTTATGATCAAAATTATTTGTTGGAAAGAGCAGTGCCGCTGTCGAAGTTCTTTCTGTGTAACAAGTTTTGTAAATCTCAAAGAATGATGCTTTTCAAATTGCAAAGACACAGGGTAAGCTATTGCTTTCTTGGAAGATCAGGCCCCGATTTCTCGAAACAAACTTAAGTTTTTACTCAAATTTCAAACTGAGTTTGACAATTAGAAACACCTGAATTTTTAACTCAACTGCATTTTTAAAATAAAAAAGCCCAAACAACTTAAGTAATCTAATTACCAAACTCAAATTGTCTACTATGTTTGAGTTTAATATTGATTTCAGTTTATTCTGGGAAATGCATTTTTCTGTGTTTTCTCAAATTTGAGTAAAAACTCTTAACTTAGGTCAAAACTCAGACTTAAGTTTGTTTCGAGAAATTAGGGCCAGATTTCACTTAGTGTTTGTTCCTGTACATATAGCAAACCAAGATTACCAGCTGTTGCTGTATATCCATGGAAACAGATTACACAGGTGGCACCACTAAATGTAGAGGCTTACAAATGTGAGACGCACCTGTTGCAATCACAGTGATGATAACACAGAGAGCATACATTTACAAATAGATTATCATGCTCAAAAAGTGTAAAAAATGCCAATACTACAAATTCATCCAATTGTTTGGATCAACACATAAAGAAATATAGTGAGTGAGTGAGTTTCAATTTTACGCCGCTTTTTAGCAATATTCCAGCAATATCACGGCGGGGGACAACAGAAATTGGCTTCACATATTGTACCCATGTGGGGAATCTAACCTGGGTTTAGTAATCCAACTTGATGGAAACCATGTGTGAGTTGTATGCATTTAAGTGGTCTATTTCTGTTTCTAAGATGCCTAGCGGTTAGAACAATAAAAAAAAAAATACATTAGCAGACAATAAAGGTATAGTTTCTTGATGACGTAACAATTGAATGACATTATCCTGTCACTGCGCCATTCTAATGTGCCCCCTTTGACAAACCATGTTACATTACATCACGATGTAACCGACGTCACGATGCATGTCAGTTGTCATCGCCTCGTACGGCCTCCTACAGTAAACTACTCTGTTGCATCCCGTTTCTTGGTTTGCAGTTGCTTCATGCAGCTAACTTCACTGGTGGAAACATTACGTTTATGTTTTACGAAGGTTAAAATGTGTCAATTCGACTCAAAAGTTTCAGCGACAAGGTAACGTTCGCAATGTTTACATTCCCACAATGCAATCGTGGAATGTCGCTTGACTACTCAGCTTCCTCTGGATGTACTGATCTAAACTTACGTTGGTAGTAGAAATGCGACGTTCATATTGCCCCATATGGTTTACATTAATGACAGATGTAATAAAAATAATTCAGAGAAGATATTTAATCCGAACGTAAACCGTCATCAAACTGTTATCATTTGTTATTTACTGGTAACGGTCGTCTTAACGTAGGGGGGCAGACACATCAATAGATCAGCGCGCCAGTTAGACCTGTGCGAGGATTCTTAATTTAGGTCACCGACACCATCGTTTGTTTTCTGCCTTAAATTAATCGTAATTATCCTTAGAAAGTATTACATTTGGCATCTTAGAAAAGAAATTATTATAATGTTAAAGCACTGGGACGCAAGCATCCTCATCCTCGTAATTATAATAGTTCAGGGAGAAAGTGTGCTTTATTACACTATACATGGTGGTAGAGAAAACTGTATTTCTTAAGTCACGTATCCGAACTGTCTCTGGAGTCCAGTGAGTCCTGTTTATATGGAATACTCTGATTCCACATGAACTTTGTAAGTTCTGACATTCGCCTTGTTCTTTATCAAGGGCCATCACTCCTAACAATAAAATTGTTAAAGCTCAACTTAGGCCCATGTACCTAAAACCATCAAAAGTCCCAAATTTAGGCCCATGGACTTCATTACACTAGGAAATCCTGGTACACTGGCAAATATAAGTCACAAAACTCTGAATCGATATTAACCTCTTGTTAATCCTTGACCTCCAATGTAGCATAAATTATAACACTGAAACTTCTCAACAAACTCCACATGCAAATATTGCCTTACCATCTGTGATGCTATGACTCTGGAAAACTCGCTGTTCATGGCAAAGGGTAAGGCTGTTTGAGCTCGAACTCCATACTGTGAGTGAAATCTGGAGACATACAAACATCCAGTTTAAACAAGCTTTGATCACTGAAAAACTTTATAGTGAGCAGGTAAATAATAGACACATTTATTTATCATATGTCATAAGTCAAGGATTAAAAGTTAAGTGAGTGAGTGGGTTGGGTTTCACGCCTATTTTAGCAATATTCTAGCAATATCACAGCGGGGGACACCAGAAATTGGCTTCACATATTGTACACATGAGGGGAATCGAACACGGGATCACCTTGAAGGCAACTGGAAGATCTGAGATATGGATGCCACATACATCCTGGATCTGTCCAAGTTTGAATCTCGATAATTGTGTGTGTGCATTGTGTGTGGGTTGGGGGTTGGGGAGTAGTGGTGGTCTGATTAATTGAAATAATCGAAGACTGGTTGCAATGACAAAATTACCAAGCAATCGATCATGTTTTCTCATAATCAAACACAAGCAATTTTGGAACACTTGTTTGCAGTAACAATATTTTTCACAAGGTTTGTTTTGTCTGTTACATTTCATAAGCACTACAAGCTCGTTCCAAGTCATGATTGAATTTATCTTAAAGACTCCAGAAAATATGTTCCTAATGTACTGGTCATCCTTTAAAGATATGAAATTTGCAAATGCATTTTGTGCAATTTGCAAAAATCCGACAGAACTACATGTTTTGTCTTTATGTTTTGTGCATTAACAAACATAACCAGGAAACTTTGATAAATGACGCTAACCAATTCGGTTGTAATGAACCAATTATGGGATTTTAACCAATTCCCAACACTATGGAGGAGTTGTAGAATTAGAGTACATACCACTCAGTTTTAAGATAATAGTCCAGGCCTGAAATTCATTGTAGGTTTTCCAACATTTGATATCATAATACAACATATCAACTTCAATGATGATTCTTATGAAGGAATCAGCTGTTAATAGCAGTTATTTCTAATGGATCAAAACAATATGATAATGCAGGAATATCAAATGTCATTGATCATGAACATCGAGAACTTTCTGGGATTCATCTTCTTTTTATTCTTTGATACGTTTCAGGGCTTGTTTTGGACCCATCATCAGGTAAAACTGTTCATTAGTTTTACCTGATGATGGGGCCAGAACAAGCCCTGAAACGTTGTGTCAAAGTGTATAATGAAGATGAAACCTAGAAAATTCTCTATGTTCATCAAATAACATCTTCTAAAACGTCAATCAAGCATTTGACATTTCTCATATTTACCTAAATATGTCATGGAGAATAGAAAATGATTCTTTGTATTCTTCTTCAGTAATATGGGTGGGTGAGTGAGTGAGTTTTAAGTTTTAAGCAGAGGAATGACACTGACAAACCCAGCAGCTTGCAAGGATTGGATTTGGGCATAACCAAGGGAGGCCACTCTGCATAGCAAGCAGCAGTGCATCAAAGGACAAGGTCACAGGTGCCCCACCACAGTAATCAGATATTCTTCAGAGAGGCATATTTTAACAAAAAGTCATTTGGGTTGTATGAAAAAGAATGTAATACTTGGTGCACTGGCTTACTCTGGATGCATCTCTCCTACCACTGATATTATGACACATTGCATACACTTGTCATTGACTTTCTGCTCAATAAAACTACTTGTCACATGTGTAGAAGCCTCTGAGTCATATATCACGAGATAGTAATCAAATATCACGTACGATTGACAGAACGGGTCCAAAACCAGTAAACATGAACAGGGCTTCACAGGTGGAATAATTTGGCATCCCATATACATGGATGCTGAAAATGTGTCCCATGGGATGACAATATGCATCTTACAGGCACCATTAAACCAGCTACAGTTTAACCACTGTCAATGTCTTTTCTCTCAGGTATCTTCAGTAAAATACTACCAGTAGTTTGAGAAAGGTTTCACAAATAATGCAGAGCTACAGATAACTTTTTGGGTCATTGAGTTAAGTACTCGCTTGTGTTCATCTCAATTGGGTATCCTAATCTTCCTTTGAGTAACCTAATAAATTATACCCACCTCACTCAAACTCAATTGGGTATTTTGCCATTTTCCATTATGTTTAAATGTTGGTTAACGTGTGTGTTATTTATATTTGATCTGTAATATGAGAAATGATAAGAAAGACTGCAAGTTGCCAAGTTCATGTGCTGAAAAAGAACCTCTAAATATACCTCTGAGTCAGTAATATCTATCTTTCTTCAGTAACCTCCATCCGTAGCGCATGGGTCTGCTTACTTCAAATTCTAGTAGGTTTGCTGAGTACGCAAGCTAGGATTTGACATCTTTGTGTGTACGCATGTTAGGTCATATTTATTGAGTATTCACAAAAATTTAAGCGTACTTGTACGCAATAGACTTGAAAGGAACTGAGTTTTCACATAAATGTTTGCATAATTTACGCAGATATGCAGCTTATCTGTACCTCTGATAATGTATAATTGTCTAATGCTGGGAACAGAGGGCCCCTAAAGAGTCCTCACAACCGACAAAGGGAAATGACCTGACACCCCTATGAACAGATAATGTTTGTTTGCTTACAGTCAAATGCCACATCTAAAAATCATGCAGAAATTTGACAGCAGTCTGTAAATATTCATGTCTGAATCAGACAACTCAGTGATTGAGTGAGTGAGTTAGTTTTACGCTGCTTTTAGCAATATTCCAGCAATATCACGGTGGGGGACACCAGAAATGGGCTTCACACTTTGTACCCATGTGGGGAATCGAACCCGGGTCTTCGGCATGACGAGCGAACGCTTTAACCACTAGGCTATCCCACCGCCCCCTCAGTGATTGATATCATGAGCACTGATCCACACAAATGGAATACAATGATATGCAGCAACCATAGGCCGATCCAGAAGGGGTTCAGGGGTGCACACACGCACGCACGCAAACTCCCTTTTGTCCTGAAAGTCTATCAAATGACCATTGAAACTCTCGTGAAAATTAAGTGTGCACCCCACCTTTCTCAAAAAGCTGTATCTGCCTCTGATCAACTAAGTCATGATCACAGCACCTGTCCATCACATCCAGTTGATCCTCTCTTACAACAAGCAGGAGTTATGGACCTACATCCATACCCCTAGGGGTACCTATTGGTTTATGAACAACTTCGAATCCCTATGATGTAGTTCCCATGCATATAAGGATACTGCCCTTAAAACTCTGGGCTGATAAAATGTTCAGCCTCAAACAGTTATCTGATCTTTTTATCAAAGTAAGACAAATATTAGTAACTAATATCTGAGAATATTTTAACTGCGTTTGGTTTTAAAATATTCCAGAAATCAAAAAATGGGCTTTCAGTGCCCAATTCCAACCCGGTCTTCGCTGACGAGCCAACGCTTTAACCATAACTGGAAACAAAATGCTTTCAGAAATAACTGGCCATGCCCTATCTATTATTACTCGCATTCCAGGTTTCTGATGGCATCAAAAGAGGATACTTTAACTTTAAGAGAATTCAAGTGGAAAATCAACATACCGTTTCTTGATTTCATTTAGAAACAGGAATGCCCTCGATCTTTCAAAATCCTGAAATCCAGAAAACAATGAATTATGTGATGTTAAGTGTTAAACTGTAGATCAATTCCCCAACATTTGTATACATTATATTTTTAAACATTAAAATGCCTGTGTAGAAGCTTTATCATTTCTTTGAAAGTTTCACTGTCTTTCATCTCAACATGTCACTTGTGTGTTTGATGCTTAAAGCCAGCTCAGCAGTATTTCAACTGAAAGATGGCACCTGTAAATAATCTGGTGCAGACAATAGTGACTGATTCTGTTAGCCACGCTCTCAGGGTATGGTGACATTTTCATCACACAAGTCCCTGACCAGGAAAATCAAATCCACAAGTCGCCCGAGCCAAGTCCTTGAGCCTCAGCATCCAATCCACAAGCCATCTCAGCCAAGTCAAAGAGACTGACCATTCAATCCACAAGCCGTCTCAGCCAAGTCACAGACACTGACCAATCAATCCACAAGCCGTCACAGCCAGGTCCATCAAATCCAAAGTTGTCTTACCAATGGAATCCCCACAAGCTGTCTCAGCCAAGTCACAGAGAGACTGACCAATCCACAAGCCGCTCTCCAGCCAAGGATTCACGGAGACTGGCCATTCAATCAACAGGCAGTCTCAGCCAAGTCACAGAGAGACTGACCAATCCACAAGCCATCTCAGCCAAGTCCACGAGACTGACCATTCAATCCACAAGCCGTCTCAGCCAAGTCAAAGAGACTGACCATTCAATCCACAAGCCGTCTCAGCCAAGTCACAGACACTGACCAATCAATCCACAAGCAGTCTCAGCCAAGTCACAGAGACTGACCAATCAATCCACAAGCAGTCTCAGCCAAGTCACAGAGACTGACCATTCAATCCACAAGCAGTCTCAGCCAAGTTACAGAGACTGACCAATCAATCCACAAGCAGTCTCAGCCAAGTTACAGAGACTGACCATTCAATCCACAAGCCGTCTCAGCAAAGTTACAGAGACTGACCATTCAATCCACAAGCAGTCTCAGCCAAGTCACAGAGACTGACCAATCAATCCACAAGCAGTCTCAGCCAAGTCCCTGAGCCTGAGCATCCAATCCACTAGCCGTCACAGCCAGGTCCATCCAATCCAAAGTTGTCTTACCAGTATATAGGTTGCCAGGTGCTAATTCTAACATGGAATCCCCACTGGGGTATTGCCATGCAGGGTAGACAGATGTAAGGCACATGGGACATGCATGAGTAATACATGATCGCAGTAATACACGATAGAGAATAACCAACAAGGTACTATTACAAAAACTCACATTTTTCTGTCTGAACTATATCTAATGTGCACACACAGACACATAAAAACCCATAAAAATAATAAAGTAACTTGTGGATGGAATATTATTAGAGACTGGTACTCACATCATCAGTGATGCACAGATAGACAAGTCTATCTTCTATGACATAGTGGAACAGGTAGCTGAAAGAAACAACACATGATATCACTGCTTTGCTGAGCCAGCGTGTATTTCACAATAGTAGGAACACACTAACTCAAACCATGTAGGATGATGCATCAGCTGCTGTATGGCAGTCAATCTATAGAACAGAAGTATTGTGAATTATCTACAAGTCAACACAAAGTGCCACTGTTCGAAAAATTGGCAATTAATAACATTTGTTAAAATTTTGGAATCTCTTCATATTTTTTGTTTTAAATGTTGAGGTATTTTTACCTTGCAGTCCACAATAAATTTGAAATTAAACTCAATTCTGACTGGTCCAACTGGTTTCAAATCAAATTAACCGCCTCTCATTAAAACAGCTGCTTTGAAAACTGTATCATCTTGGAAACCAATATTAACAGAAAAGAACATCTTTCTCAACCACTGTCAATAGCCATTTCAACACAGTTATATGGACAGGAACATATTACATAATGTAGAGTTTTTGTGACTGCAATATTCAAAATACATGTATGTGTGGATTGGTCTTGACAAAAACATGAGAGAAATGAAAGGGGATTTAAAGTGTTTGGAGACAAGCTTAAAATTTAGCACCAATCTACATCCTTGTCATCATAAAAAGCAATGTGACACAGTAGTGACCCAGGGATTTACCTTGAGTCCTGTATTTGAGGGTCCCTGGGACTCATGCTTATAATTTTCAGGGGTCCTTGACAACAAAATGGGGGTCCCAGACACTTACATATTACTAATACTGTTATCATCACATTTATTGTTACAGTAATCAAATTGCAAATGATACCATAACTTAACTAGTAACATATTCAGGGACAACTTATTGTTACTTGATTGAAATTCTTACAAAAGTATTTGGACTTTTTTCTGCATCCCTGTGGATGTGCTAATATATTTTGTTGCATCCATTGTCAATTTTATGCATATAGGATGCAGGAATTCGCGTCCTGTAAATCCCTGGTGACCTGTGAAGTTGAACCAAAGGCTTGTTTAGTTTACAGGCACCAACTTGTAACTTACAAAGTGGATTGGCTAAAGAACGCCTGTAATACCAGTGAGTGAAATATAACAATGCAAAACAATAACCAAATATGTTAACTTTCCCAAATTAAATTTAACATTGTATTTAGGATGCCAAAGCCGAACACTATATCTACAGTAGAAAACAACCATGTGAATTTGAAACCCAACAGATAGGTCCATGACTTCCTTTCAATTTCAACAGAAGCAACTTCCAGTAATGTGAGTGGAGTTTTTCACTCAGGCTTAAGGGAATTTGACCATATAAAGCATCCTATTTCATTATTAGGCTGGTATCAGTGTTTCTCAAGGAGACTGAAATCCACTCATGACCAAAACTCTGTGATGCTTCAATCAATGTCTCTGCTAACTCTAGTGTTTTGTTATGGCAGATCAGACATAAACATTAAGAGCGCAACAATCCACTATCTAGTATGAGGCGATCTGATACATATGAATATTGGGTAACTAATATGAATATTGGGTAACAAATATGAATAATGGGTAACCAAATATGAACATTGGGTAACAAATATGAATATTGGGTAACCAATACAATAATGAGTCAACAGATGATGTATTGATCAATATATTCAGTGAAATAATTACAAGCTATTTATTACCTACGAGGGCGAACATATCGGGGTTCATATCTTTCATACGATGCCCTAGGACAAAATATCACTTTGTCATGGTGACGTGACGTCATGAACAATGCTATGACGTCACGTTTCTTCTATGACGTTGCATTCCACAAGCGGCGACGGCGGGTAGACAGCCTATGTTTGAAAGTAGATTTGGGTTATTTTCCTCAATTTGACGACTTTGGTAATAAACAGAATATTATATTCTGTATCATACTATGTTTGCGACACTCGTGCCTAAATAACGGTATATCCCTCGCTCCTCGCCGGGAAATACCAACATTTAGGCACTCGTGTCGTAAACATAGTGAGTGAGTGAGTATGGTTTTACGCCGATTTTAGCAATATTCCAGCAATATCACGGCGGGGGACACCAGAAATGGGCTTCACACATTGTGCCCATGTGGGGAATCGAACACAGGTCTTCAGCGTGACGCTCGAACGTCTTAACCACTAGGCTACCCCACGGCCCCGTCGTAAACATAGCATGACATGGGCACTCATATAATATCCTCTATATATGTGACATGTTGGAAGTCTTAATTTTCCACGACAATGACTACAGATCACATTACTGTCAAATTACATTTTTAGAGTGTTGGCTATTATCCTGCCTGGCTTGGATGAGTTCCATATTGCATGTCTCATTTTCATAAATAAGGCCAAAACTCAAGTAAAAACACTCCTTTATAATAACTTCATGGATATTCTATTCTAGTGATCATGATGAACAAACTGAATTCATGAAGGGATATGGTTTGATTCACAGTATACTACAGTGAATCATCGTAACAGCCCTAATTACCATGCTGTATTTTCGATATAAAGTTAACCTTGCCAAATTCAACATTTGAAACCCCAGGCGGGGTATTCAATTCCAAATTCATTTTTTTGTGATTAAATCTACAGGTAACTTGGCCCAACATTGAAAACATTGAAACTAAGCATAAATACATCTTGCTCTTCTTTGAACTATATGATTAAAAAATAATACTGATACATCTTGCTCTTCTTTGGACTTGATATGATTAAAAAATAATAAACCACAAATATCTGTAACACTAGTTCATAAAATAAATTGAAAATGTTGTTTCTGTTTTGGATTGTTACTGACATCCGTGGCAGCCCTGAGACGTGATATCAGCATCTGATCAGATCCAGATGAAATCCTCAAATTGTGAAGGATTTGAAGATGTAATTGGGAACATGCTAATGAATTGGAAAAACTACTAATGAGAAGCCATCATTACCTTCCATGGGAGTAGGTGAGCTTGGAGGTTTCGGGCGTTATTTTGCCAAGAATTTGTTCTGTTACTTCTGAAAAGTTGCCAGCACAGCTGGCATATTTAGCCAGGACTGTGGTGCCGCGTGCTATCACTGCATACAGCAATGGCATCTTTGCTGAAACTGAAAAAATAGAGCAAATTGTTTTAAGACCACTTCGAAGAGCAATGTATTCACCATAATAAAAAACATATGGGGTTCCCAGAAAAGTAAAAATGCTGTCATAAATATTCATACATAAAGATCACTTTTCACAATGTATTCCCTACCTCGACCTATTTCAACTTTAGTGAAATGTTGAAGCTAGGTTGATATTATGATCACTATCTTTACAACTAATCACTGCTGGATTGGGTGGTCAGGCTAACTGACATGGTTAACACATGTCAACATATCCCAATTGCGGAGATCCATGCTCACGAGATTGATCACTGGATTGTCTGGTCCAGACTTGATTATTTACAGACCGCCACCATATAGCTGAAATGTTGCAGAGTGCAGTGTTAAACAACACACAAACAAAAATCAAACTATTCACTGTCTTTTGCAGTTGTACTTCAAATGCCGGTACACTTACAGAATACCGGATACCTATATTATATACATTCTATTGTGCGCGTGAGGCTCCTCTATATAGAAGAAACAGAGAGCTCGAGCCTGCGAGCGATCCAATAAAAATATGAATTTAAGGTAAAAAATAAGGTTAAAATCGAATTCCTCACCTTACTTCCGGTTTAGGAAACCTAAACTGGGGATTTTAACAGCGTTCACTGACGTAAACAGAGTAAAAAGTAATAGAGTGTTGAAATTTTATTCAAATGCATGCTGGGAAAAGGAACGCCACAGTGTGGGAACACTCTGATGGTAAATGTTTTTTGATTGGTAAGGTAAGGTAGGTAAGGCTTTTAAATAAAGGGGGGTACCCCCTTTACCCCCATTATCTTACCTTTTTTTAGCTTTAATATTGTTTAATATTTAATATTGAACGCTGCTTCAACACAGCCTTCATTCGTGGCGTGCCGTTGCTAAGGAAACAAAACGGAAGTGCGCAAAAATAAAAGCTCAATCAAAATAAAAATGGCGGATAGGTATCCGGTATTCTGTAATCTTGCCCAAATGCCATAGAATTGGTACCGTCATTGTAATGCCTTTGCAGTAATTTGTATTGGTTTTAAAATTTAGTTAATTTAGACCACACTTGTCAATTGTAAATCATTTCTTTTTTTTGTTTAATAGTTTTGAACCAAATTTGGTTATGGAGAGATTTTCAGTTAACCTCATTTCAGCCTCGACATCGACAAGCAACACAACAAATTTTCAAACCACTTAATTTGTACCAGCAAAATATTTAATAACGCTGGTATCCGTGTACACAGATGGTATTTGTAAAATAGACTTAGTGAGTGAGTGAGTTTAGTTTTAGGTCGCTCTTATAGTCCGTTTGGCTCAACAGCGGTCCGATGAATTGCGAACTCACTCGAAAACTGATAAACATATAATACTCAATGAAACGCCGATCATAATAAAAACATCAGACCAACTCAGTGAGATTTTCGCAAAATTTATGTCCTTAAAAGAAAAAAGTTGTTTAACAAACTATCATTAAAATATTCACATAGTTCACTATTTGGTACGAGGGAGGAGTGCAGAGAAAGGGAGAGCCAGGTGTGCGAGAAAGGATGGATACGGCACAGCTCAGGTAAATGAATCAATAGCTTTGTCGGCACTTGTGCATGTGCTCCGCGTACACCTGGCTGTTCCTCTCTTTGCACTCCTCCCTCGTTACAAATAGTGAACTGTGTGCTTCAATACTCAATAACACCCAGAAATTGGCCAACACATGATGTTTATCTCCTAATTTCAACATTGAAATACTGAAATACACAATGCCATTTTAGAAAGTGGTCAAATGTAACATATGTTATATTTGGGATTACACTTTCTCAGTAAAGTACATTCTAGTACTTTTTTTTCGCTCAGCCACCGCGGCTTCCACTTGCGTCTGACTTTGTGTGCTGGCGATTAGGTGCCTGACTCTGAGGATGTGGGTTCTAATCCCGGATGGGACTCAACCCCCCAAAAGTACTAGAATCTGTACTTTACTGAGAAAGTGTCATCCCAAATATAACATATGTTATTGAACTATCGGTATCTGTGTAGTACAATGCAATATCTGGATTACCACTTAACAGTGAAGGCACAAGGAATACAAAAAAGGGGGTCATCACCTCAAATAACGGCCATGTTGACAGCATCAGTAATGAGTCTAATGAGTCTAATGACTGGGGAACAATCACATAAAATCAACTGAATCATACACGGGTTACAGTCATAGGGCCCATACATTGACAGTTCTAACTGTTTTACAATTATTCATGACATAATTTCGAAGGGCGACGTCACACCTTTAGTTCATGTTTGACTCAATTCCCAAATCAAAAGGAAACAGCTCTTATAGATCTTTACCTCATGTCCTATGTTAAATAACTATGGTCATGTTTTTTATTGGAGGCAAACTGAAAAGAAAATGTGTGTGTTTTACGTACAGATGAGTTACAAACTACTAATATATAATAAATAAGAGAAAAGTGCAGGGGCCACTTGCAGAAAATGATCTTGGGGCAAAGACTGTCTTAAGTCCATGGAAGAGTATGAGAGTTACGATCACCGATGCACTAAGATTGCTGGCAGGTATAAATAAGTCTACACATACTGTGAGGTCATTTGAGCAGAAGATTCTCTTATGGAATATGGCTAGCAGGGGTTGATCAACTATTGTTTGGAAACAATGCTGCAGAAAGGTCACTGAACTTGTCCTTTCAGATGCCCCCATTCAATCATTATTTTATCCTTTCTATTACTAGCTACTCTCTACCAAAGGACTTGGAGCTGAGGTTTGAGATGGTTGAAATGTCCACCAATGTTAGCAAAATGATGGTTCACAGATCTATATCCCAATAGGGTAATGTAATCACCTGCCTTCATACAAAATTCATTATAAATTGCAACTATGTAACGTGATGATATCCTGTGTCCAAGACTGACATACTGAATAAGGTTTTATGCCACTATTCACCATATTCTTACAATATCAAGACAGGCCACACCAGAAATGGGCTTCACACAATTATACTAAGGAAATTAATCGCGACTTTGACAAGCTAACACTTAAACATTTAGGCTACCCCCCAGGCCCCTACTAAGACACAAAGGCATTGACAAAACAAGTCATATCTTTTCTCTATCAATAGCCTAAAGAAATTCCTGGATTTCACATCTGATAAAGAGTCTTCACTAGTTCCCGAGTCATTTCCTGCATGCATACGTGATGTCAGAATTGTCTAGATTGGGGCTGGGGTAGCCTAGTGGTTAAAGCGTTGGCTCGTCAAGCCAAAGACCCGGTTCGAATCCCCACGTGGGTACAATGTGTGAAGACATTTCTGGTGTCCCCGCCATTAATATTGCTAAAAGCGGCGTAAAACCAAACTCATCAGTCAGTCAGTCTAATTACCTGACATCACTCAATATACATCACGGTTTAGGAATTATACACAAGTTACCGTAACGTATGTAGACGTATTATCACATTATGGCCATCATCAATACTAGTTTAAACCCAAACAATGATTGTGTCAGTCTGTCAGCAAGAGGGTTGGTACGTCTGACTTGTAAAATCTGTTTCCATGATCACTGACAAGCGAGATTACATACCAGCTCTGTTTACAAAGTCATGTCAGTTAAACAGATTGTAGACTGTGTTATTTGAAAGTATGGGAAAAGGTTTGACAAATCATACTTCCTCGAAACTCACGTTATATATTCGCGTACTTTCCACTGTCTTGGTCTCTGTATTTACATGGAAGTGACGACAGAAGCACCTGACTCGCGACTGCATTTGCGCGAATGTTTTTGTTTAGAGAAGTACGTTCTCCTGCTGGAACCGACCGGAAAACAAGTGCTTGTGTGATTTGGCACCTGCCTTCACATAAATATTTTTCACAGATATATAAAACAACCCTGCAATATTTACTCTGAAATATTTCAAGACAATCCCTGGACAATGTGGTATAACGTTTTGAGGTTTACGAAAGACATGTACTTGAACTTGTAAAGCAGACTGTTTATTGACGACTAAGTCTGTAATATGCAAACAAAGGCAACTGAACCGAAAACACTTGTCACTGTCAGTATTATGGATCCGGAAATCAGTGTGTACCCTTAACCATGAAAAGCTGAAGGCCCTAACGACCCAGAACCATAAACAAAGTTGTGGGTCCTGATCAGAATGTGTAGGTCCTATATTTTAATATAGAAATAACACGATCAGGTATTGAGGATGAAAAAGCGGTGGGACAAAAGGACCTGCAGAAAACAAAAGATGTGTGTCCGAGTAGTTTTAAGTCGGCTTCGGGCAAAAGGACCGACGTCAATTTCGAACGCTGTCGGAAATCTGAAAATTACATTCTCAATCCATTATCAAATTCCATTAAAACAAATATGGAAAATATGTTATCCTTCCAGCCAAGTATCTGCATGAATCTCTCCAGAATCAGATATTCAAACAATGTAGATCTGATTGCAATATGATTAAGGAAAACAGTAGACTTATATACAGAGATATCACGTTTCTCCATATGTTCAAGTATATATGACAAACAATCATTTGTCATCAGTAAGTTTTAATTGTATTCTTCCTCATTAAGGAGGGAACGCCTCCGTGGTGTAGTGGTTAGAGCGTCCGCCCGGAAAGCGGAAGGTCGCGGGTTCGATCCCCGACCGCGTCCTACCAAAAACGTTAAAATATGGTACTTGTTGGTCCCTGCCTGGCGCTCTGCATTAATGGGTACAACAAGGACTGGTCGGCTCGGAGTCAGTATAATTTGTCTGAGTGGGGTATTCATCACTTCGGCTGAATATCCCTATCTCCAGCCTAAGTCTGGGCTAGTACAAAACCAGCTTACACATACACACGCATGCACGTCGTCATATGAGCGAAATATTCTCAAGCACGACGTTAAACCCATTCTCACCTCACCTCTTACCCCAAGGGCACAGATATAGTTCAGTCGTCTAAGGAGACGATGTTATTTGTGCAGAGTTGCGGCCCTTGGGCATGCCAGAAGCCTATGACTGTGATTTCAAATTCCGGTTTGCTATGAACCATTCGACACCACTCGCCCCTTTCAGTAAACTCCAAGAAGACGCGACTTGTCCCGGAATAATACGAGTGGGTCACGAATGGCTCTGAACGTTTCTTGATTTGTCACACCCGGTTAACACACCCTTGTCGCGAGGAAGACCCGGGTTCGTTTTCCCACATGGGTAAAATATGTGAAATCCGTGATATTGCAGGAGTATTCCTCAAAGCATCGCAAAACCTATTCACTCACTCAAAGTAAACACAGAGAACACAAAACACAAATCTGTCCTCCCTTTCATAATGCCACAATGGAGCTCATAAAAGCAGGAAGACGTAGATTATGCTGTAGATTATCCCTGGTAAAATTAAAAAGAAATGGAAAAGGACAGATTTTTTTTACTTTGCAAATATTGCTACAGTTCACGTTAGGGAATCGGTGCGAAAACAAAAGAGCAACACAACATTAATTAAAATCTATCGCATGCTCTGATGTGAATGTAATGATTATAATCTGAAAGAACACGTTCCCAGGAAAAAGAATCGCACCCAAACGCGTCCCCCTTTATCGACTGCGCATAACCGGAAGCAGAAGGACAGGAAGTAGTGCAACCACATGTTCATGTTTATTTCGATAAAATGACAGAAGCACCTCAAAAGCAACCATTACTGGAAGTTGTAAGTATATGATGTGTGCTATGAATAAGTAATTGGAGTAGAAACATTATTGAAACTGTGAAGATTGAAGTCCTCTGCTCTCCATCCTCACTTTGTTTCTGTTGATCATGCCGGTCTGGGACAGAAATGACAGACCATACCATTGTGCACTATTGCTCATGTGATCATTGACAGAAACAATGCTGGTTACCGAGCGCATCTCATAGGTGAGGTGAATTTGGGTTTAACGTCGTGCTTGAGAATATTTCGTTCATATGACGACGTGCATGCGTGTGTATGTGCGACTGCTTGCCGAGACTGAAGCTGGTTTTATAGTGCTAGCCCACCGAGATACCATGCCGCAGTGGCATGAATACCCCACTCAGACACTATATACTGGGACTCTCTATTATCGCGGCACGGGAAAGCAGAAACACCACGCCCCGCATCGGCTGTTTACATATGCAAATTACGTAAACTATATTCATCGCTCTTGAAAAAGTCATCTATTTCATTTGAATGTTATGTGTAATCGTAGAAATATTTAAGCATTCATCTTTTCAGTAAGTTCTAGAACATTTTGAAACTAGCATGACCCCTACTGCCATTACATCTAGCATGAATCAAAACTTACTTCATCAAAAGCAATATTGGCGACAACTATAAGGTCATTTGCGTATTCCGTGCTAAAAATATAACAGGATGTGACGTGTCGTATTTATGAAACTTCACTCTGCACACGGCAGCAACTTGTATGGTACTTTTTAAGCCGGAAAAACAATATTGTGTAACGTTATTGTTACCTTGTATCCAAATGAATAGAAGTTTCAGATGTTAGGGTTAAAAACTTGATGATATTACTAATGTGAATGAAATTCCTAAATATTTTTAAATGATCAAACTATTTAGATTCGTTACTTGTCTTAGTAAACGTTTCACAGTGTCATCTGCTTGTACCGCGTGCCATAGTAAGAAAAAAAGCAATGCCGCGATAATAGAGAGTTGCTTCAATTTCCGGTCAAACGAGACAATCGGAATTGCCGCAATGGTATTAAACGAGTTGCGACAATGTGTCACAGTACTTATGACAGAAATGAAGATTAAACATCAGTCAACTGAAAATATATATAAAATGCTAAATGTCGATAATAGAGGGTCCCATGATACTGACTCCAAGCCGACCAGTCCTTGTTGAACCCATTCATGCCGCGCGCCAGGCAGGGACCAACAAGTACCATATTTTAACGTCTTTTGGTATGAACTATGATGCGGCTGGGGATCTAACCTGCGACCTTCCGCTCAGGGGGGACTCTCTAACCACTACACCATGGAGGCGGTCGCGCAGCTCATAAGCTCTAGCTCGCATATGACTGGCTTTTCCTTCAGAGATCTTGATAGTCCAGCATAACTAGACGACTTAGCACTATGCTAAGGTGTGATGTAGGCCTTGGCTGGAATACAAGTTTATTCATATGAACTAAGATCTTGAGTGCCTCTTCGATCATCATGATAAGGGCGTAAGAGTTCCGCCCGTAAATCCCTCTTGAAATGTCATTGGTGTTGTAGTGAAAATAAAAATTAAAGGGTAAGTAATCTAGCTCAGGGTTAGGGTTAAAGCATAAATCTACTCATAGTCATAGAATGATAAAAACAGGGATCAGGGCACCAGATAATTTTTCAACATCAGGAGTACGTACTCCTTATTTTTTCAATATAGGAATAGTGGAAAACTTAAGAGTAAGTACATTTAGAGTACTGAATGGAATTTAATGGAATAGCAGTAATCTTGTGTTTCGTTTCATTTATGCACAACATTGCTACTATGTTGTAAACAGGTCAATAAAACAATACTGTTTCAGATAAATACATCTGTAAATTATTCTAAGACCATACACCATTCCTGTGGTGCATATCTGCTACGTTTCCTAAATTATTTCTTACCGTATCGTGCATATTTTGTATCCGTACATACGCCGATATGGCCCTTATATGGAGCCCTGGGGATTATGCCTACAGGTGGAAATCTTTCCAAACTGTAAACCTTGATGGATTTCTACAATCAGTGTGTTATTTAAAAGCCGTGACAGTGTTCTTCAAGGTGATATATTTTGTTTCACTTGATCTGAACCGGGCAGATAATACTAGTGTTCCTTGTAACAAGGATACCTATCATTGCCATCTGTCGTTGGCACGTCAGGAAACGGTAACTCATTCGGGATGGCCTGTCTCAAATAACAATAGAATCAACTTGCAAAATGTTAACAAACCATTGCATGCAGAAACATTTCAAGTAAAAAAGCAACAAAAATCCTTTTTCAGGGCTACAGATAAGGGGCGTACATGCATAATGTCAGTGTTCACGAATGGTGTTTCAAAGTAACAGGACATTGGGTCCTGTAAGTTTCAGATGAGTGTCTGACCCATTGAAAATTCAAAGGACCCATAGAATAAAATTAAACACACATTTCAGATTTAACATTTCTTATAATTGGCATTGAAATTATTAACAAACGTAAGATTTATAAACAGGAAACAAGTGTTACATGCCACATATAACAACATCAGTCAAAGTCATTGTGAAACATACAGTCAGACACTGGGGCCGGCGGGTTGTAGACTTCTATCAGACCGTTGGCGAATCTGCCGGATTTGTCAGAGGGTCAGACGCTATTCGTGAACACTGTAATGTACGCCTCAAAATCAATTAAGTACACACATAAATACCTTCGTACGTCTAACATTTAATTTCCGTGCGTATTGTGCAAATGGAAATCTATTTCGGGATAAATACTTGTTCAGTTTCTCTTGCGAAACACGATTTGACACATAAGGAAACCCCGACGGAAGGAATCCCTTGCGTTGCCATGCAACGATATGCGTCACTATTTTTCGATTGGCTAAAAACTAAACTGTTCCTATTTATATCCAGTCGGACCTAACATTTCGCGCATCACACGGTCGCTCAGTTATTTCTCACGCATCTTCAAATACAAATACATGGTTGGAAATAGTGATCGATGAATCGTCCAGACAAACCACATCAACTCGCTCACACAAAAACATGTCGGTACTCCTTCAAAATTTTCAGTACACC